TTTCTGAACTGTACTTGACAACGACTTCAACAAGGGTCGAAATGTTAAAACCGTATCCCCGTAGTGTTTGTCGATGCTGAATGGGGATGATACACTATTATTAGTCTTGTCATAATATTACAAGCGTATTCTCGTCTCTCAATGTAACTTTCACCATTAGAACATTTATAGGTAGACATTTATCATATCAATCACCCGTTCATCCGTCCTCATTAGGATCATAATAATATTAATTAGATTTCCTTAAAAATCTATTTAAGACATTTAAGATCGCGATAAAGATACAGATTATGTGTGTGGCGGTGAGGGCAGTGGAACACTGCCATTGAGTCATTCCATATCCGAATGCCTATTTTATCTGCATTTCAGAAATTATGGAGAGCAGTATTACATTTCAGAATCTTTCATTAGAAATGTATCAAAGTATAATAGAGCATCCTCTTAATAATAGGGCATATACAATCTCGACTATTTACCAATATTTATGTTATAGCGGCTTATCGGGAGAAACAGATATTTTTTTAAATCGTGCAACAAAATAATAATGATTATTACTGAATTTTCAAGAGGAAATATTGACCTTTGTTGCTCGACGTGACCTCGTAGAGGAAATCCCAAAGAAAAAATAACAAGATAGTAATTAGCTGACTTCTGCTCGGAGATGACGGACACACGAATGACCTGGGTTTGTGTTGATAATGCAGTTTACTAAATTGTTGGTGATTTTTGTGTAATCTCCGTCCAATAAAAACTACATTGGGCGTTAGTTTGCTGTAGTTATATATAATAAGACGTTAAATTGACTGTTGATTATTGAAACAGTACAACACATATATTACAACTTAAACTTTTTTTCGTATTTTTTTCGGAATAATGAGATTTATCTTTCAAATAACATCTTTCTGAAATTCTGTTTTATCTTATTGTTGTAATGAATTATAATGATACTTTTTATCTTATTGTTGTAATGAATAACATATAGTGTTTATTCCTTCTTTTAATAAAGATAATTACAGTACTAATAGATATAATACCTATTCTAACACGATGAAAACTTACCACAAATATATTGCATAGGACTTTAGTTGATATATTAAATAAAGTATCATAACTATAGGCCTATATGATTTTTTCATATCGTACATGAATCATTATATAATACAGATAATATCTAAACCATCTTGCGTTAATACTATAATTATATATAATTTTTAACGTTAAAGTGGAATTCGGGTGTGAAAAAGCTGCCTCAACCGAGATTCAAACCTGAGCCATTATGCTGTCTCTATAAATATGTGTGTAGTAGAAATTGTTATACGCCCTAAAAAAAATTAAAATTACGGTGGCAATTAATACGTAGGCCTATCAAATATTTACATTGAAAATGTTTCAGAGCGCCACCCATAAAATATAAAATTCATATTTTTGCACTGTTGAATAAGTTCATCTGGAGTTTTCTTATTTTGTTATTGTTTTTCTTTTCTCAAGGTAATAAAATCTACTTATCTTGTAAACTGGTGGAGCGCATCGTTATAACAAACTATTTATACAAAACAAATAGTAGATGAAACACGTAAATCAATTAAACTATTTATTTTCAATATGCATTATTCAATAAGACGATTATTATTTTTAAAAAAAACATTGTTTCTTCTTTAACATTTGTTTTTTTTTTGTATATATACTGTATTGGATTTTAATAGAAGACGTGTAGAATTTTATTTATAATAATGAACACTGCCCTCATGAAGGATGGAATAGGAAATGAAATATGACGAAACATTAAAGCCCGATTCCAGGCAAAATTTCAGTTTTTAAGAAAAATCTAATTTTTGTATAATGTTATAAAGATTTATAAATATAATACGGAATTGCTAGTTTAACTGAATTTAGACATTCCTTAGAATGAAAAAAATGTAAAATAAGAATGAAATTTGATTTTTTGTGTTCTACACAAAAAATAAATGCGGATGAATTTTTCATGTTTGATTTTGCGATAGGTCGTGAGAAGAAATATCGTAGGCGCCGAAAACATTAGCTTATCCAACGCTGCTAGGCTAGGCCTAGCCTTACCTCGATTTAGGTTCTGTTATCACACATAAAAACGGCCGACATGATATTTTCCGTTGCTAGTTTTGATACTTGTGAAATATAATATTTCATAGGAATTATTTCAAATTTGTTAAAAAAACTGATTCTGACTGAGATTTTGACACTTAAACAAACATCATATCTCAGCCTAACCGAACGACCGAAATATTGTGCGAGATGCGAAGTACAAAAACTAATCTCATTAGAGAGGGCGCACTTTATTGACTGTATAAAGTATACATTAAAAGCGAGAGTATTCCAGTGGATGCGGTCTACAACCTCTGAATTTGCCTAGTAACGATGAATTCGTCGAGAAAATGGTAATATTTTATGAGAAATAGTCTGTATTTCTCATCCTATCAAAAGGAACTAAAAAAATGAACCCATCTTTTAGGCCTATAATGTATTCTACATTAAATTATGTAGCCTATTTCTATAATATAATGTAGGTCTAAACTTTTCTTCCCAACCGTTTACCAGATAAAGCTAATGATCTCTCATTTAAGAATAATTGTAATGTGTCGGTTCTCTTTTAAATTATCGATGATTTAATACCGTACTACTGGCCTCACATAGATCATGCGAAATATCTAGGCTGCTTATCCGGCTCTCTGTATCATGCTTCCGATTTGAAATGAACCTGTAACTAAAATGAGTACACAAGACATTAACATAGCTTATAAAAAAAATGACTGAAAAAACTTTTTTAATATTCTGTTTTTAAAACACTAACGTTATAAGTATTTCAGCATTAGTCTGAAATTATATATATAACTGTCTTTAAGTATAAAACATGTTAGTTATTATTCCTGAAGATGACACAGTTATGGTCGAAACGTTTATAATCAATTCGTTTTATAGGTACATTCATTGTTTTGTATCATAAACGTAATAAAGAATATCTGTTGGTTTTGTGAACGTTCTAATTTCATACTACATTACATATTTTCTACAAATACGATCACCAGGTGGTGGATTGGTCGACAAGTAGCTTTGATGATCCACATTTTCAGCTACAATCAACCAAAATCACCATTTAGACACACACCCTCAGGTTCGAAGATTCTAGAAACTTTCTTTCATACTTTTTTTTACATATTTACATAATTATACTGTACATATATATAAATCTTGGTACAATATAGAGGGCGTTTTATCATATTTATCTCCATAATTTGCAATTGATATCGAGATTTGGCACTGAACTCATGTGCACCAAGAGTGTCAACAAATTCTTACTTCTAATCTGATTTGTGGCCTAGTTGGTTATGTCCTGGCTTCGAATCTCAGTTGGAGCAACTTCTTCTTCACGCTTCATAATCCCCTTTTTAAAGTTCTATATTTGTATATAGGCCTATACGGTAATGATGTTGAATATCTTAGTGGTTAAGATGCTTGTCTTGTAATCCTGGGTTTAATTCTGTGACAGCAGGACTTTTTCTCACGACTAAAACAACTCCACTCCCTAAGCCTCATAAAGAGACAAAAAGCATCACATTATTTCATATATATAAAGAGGGCCCCTGAATATCAGCCGACCTTATAGCATACACTAGCTGAGTGTCCCCCTCTACAAAAGGTAAAACAAAAATGTTATGGATTTCTGCTATTAGATTTTTTCGATTTAAAATTGAAATAGAGCACTATATCGAAGATCTTTGCTCCAAGTACCGGTGAAGGTGAGTTTATATAATTCTTCGTCAGATTTCTCATCTGTTTCGTGTCAATTCATATAATTGCATTCATTATTATATTATTCCGCTTGATGTTTCTGGGCTTTCCGAGAAGCCTAAAATTACTATATACATACATAGACATACACATACACCCCCCCACCCACCTGTCTCTTATACACATCTAGATGTGTATAAGAGACAGTATATATATATATAATAATTTATTGATGTTATAAAATAGATTCTTCCTCTCCTTGAATTAACTTTTTCCTAATTTAATTTTGTGTCATTGCCCTTGAAATGTTTAACTATTACAATTTTGCAAAAGGTATTGAACACGTCAAGTAGAGGTAGTATTGGGTGTTTTTGCGTCATAGTCTATCTTAGTAACAACCAACCTGATGTGATGACTATCTAAATTAAAAAGGTTATGTCAATAGCGTAACAAGGAAGATCTATTAAGTTATAATTTGTGTTTAGTTTACATAAGTAGCATTCAACCTAATTCTATTATATTTTAATTAAATAATTAAATATGTTGTGAATATATCAATACAAAGGTTCTAAGAGTTGTTATGCTTTTGTCGTTGTTTATATCACAAGCGACCGACCTGGTTACCGTATGTGATAAAGAAAATATGAGTCGCATGGTCAATTTTTTTGGGTATCCAAGATGGGTCTAATGTGTTATTTCCTTTATGAAATGGCAATAGCAACTTCCAATTAAAATAAATGTTTTGAATTTATTATTATTATTAGTATTATTTTTAATATTATAATTATTAAAATTATATCCGCTGACATTATTATTGTTGGTTAAAACTTATCAAATTATATATATATATATATATATATACATATATATATATATGAATATATATATATATGCCTATATATAATATTTAAATATGTATTGAGGCAGGTGTGGATATATTCATCACATTAGCATATAAATATGTATAAGCTATTTTGTTATTACTATTATTATTATTATTATTATTATTATTATTATTACTATAGCTATATTTTTCATTATCTTTCTCATTACCATTATCGTTACCATTTCTTATTATCATAATTATTATCATCAATATCAATGCCACTCTCACTGTCAACATTTTTCGTTATCGTTGTCATTATCATTACCATTTTTATTTATTAGATTAGACCTAATTAAAAATATGGACAAAATGCTGTTATCTACAGAGAGCTATATTATTAGAAAAGTCCCGTGTCTCCAATAGCTATGCAAAAAAAGGGAAAAAATGAGATTACTTTCGTTTGCACATGCCATTTTGCCTGTTAATTATGACGACTTATTAATGAATAATCTATTTTTATTAATACTCTTTGAGTATAAATTAAATTTTGTTTTATTTAAAAAAAATTAACACTATATGAAGTCCAAACATATTATGTTATTTATTTTAATGGAACAACCGTTTTCAGATATTGCATTCTGTTCAAAATGCGACTGACACAGTTTATATGACGTCATATATGTTGTACAACTGATTTGAGTCACGGATGTTTGCAATTACGTAGCTTCCCAGTCGAGTTGACTATCGACAACACAGCCAGTACACACATCTACATTGCGATTAGTGTGTTTCTAATGTGTGAATTATTCAACGCGACATTTAACCTACACATTATTTTTGGAATATCAGGGTGTTGTAATTACAGTGTCAGCGGTTGCTTTGCAAGGTTTTATAGACATCACAGGTTTCAGTCAAGTCTTTAGATGACTTTGAGAACTTGTGACGCTTTTGTATCATGCTTTAAATGGCTATGGCAACTGGAATAATCCTGGTAGCAATATACAGTGCGCTACTTGGAAGGTTTTTCGTTCTACCACAATCAATATTACACTTCCAGGAAGAACCGAGGTCTACCGACGTTTACGATGGTCAGATATTGACCCTTAACTGTGTAGTTCAAAGCGGTTGGACCACTGGCGTGATACACTGGATGAAAGATGAGGTTACAGAAATAAGTCGTGGATCTATCATCCAGTCTCATCGAGTGGTCCACGCGTCACGGTTTTCGATAGTTGGTGAGAGATCACAAGGTAACAATAATCTGCAGATCAAAAATGCTAGGCCAAGTGATGCTGGGTCTTATGTATGCCATTTATACGACTTACAAGGCTCACATATAGCTGAAACAGCTGCGTCAACTGTTACTGTGCTACCAGTTCAACCTCCGCCTTCTGGGTATCCGGTGTGCCCTCTTAGTATACCAAATCCTAAACCTGGAGATACTATCATATTCAGATGTTATTCGATAGGGGAACATCCCGCTGCAACGCTTAGGTTTTGGCGTGGACCACACGAAGAGCTACAGGTTGAACCATACATGGGACTATATGGTGGCGTTTTCTTCGAACGTCAGTTAAACGAAGATGACAATAATATAACCTTCACTTGTATGGCCACAGGACCAGCATTTAAATTAGAACATCACAGAAACTGTAGTGTAGTACCATTTGTTATACCAACGTCTGTAAACGTTATTCCTGCGATCGCGGAAGTTCCAACTGGAATGGCAGCGACGTTTCAATGCAAGACAGTAGCGGTTCCACAGGCCAATAAGTTTCGTTGGTGGATTTGGAACAACGGATGGGATCGAATATTAGCAACCCAAGGACGATATGTTCTTGAGGGTGACGGAGAATCTATGCGGATACTCGACATCAATGAATATGACGACGGAAGGAAAGTCCGGTGTATTGCAAGGAATCCACTAGGACTTAAAGGCGAAGCAGAAGGAAAGCTTAAAGTTTATGTAGTAAGGCCCACTGCTCGTGGACCGAATTGGTCTGGTGGACGACCGGGTGATAATAATAAGTTATATAATTCTACTAACCCAACTGAGAGTTACAATGACGACGGTTTTAAAATAGGTGCCAGTCCAAATGTTGTGCTTATTGTATGCTGTGTAGTCGCGGGATTTTTTGGAGTGATCATTATAGTATGCATTGTCGTCATACTTCTTCGTAGAGATTCTAGAGACAAACATGAACTTAAGGAAAAGCAGGTATCTGCAAAGCCTCCCACACAAAGTTTTGTTAATAAAAAAGAGCTAAGTACAAGTGATGTAGTAGATAAAGCATTAACTAAACTTGGTGGATATGCAACCATTGATACGGTATCTAATACAGATGCACATCTAACTGCTAGTCAAAATAGGGCAGCAACATTAGATTCTAAACCGCTGTATGCCAAACCTATTGTACGCACTGACGTTAAGCAGAAGATCATAACCGAAACAAAGTCTGAACAAACGTCACACAACTTCACGCATGAAGCAGATAAACACAAGTTTACGGAAAATAACGTACTCAACTCGGGAGCAATTTTAGCCATGTACGCTAAGCCCATGAAAGGAAAAATAGACAATTCGTTAATAGATTGTCGGCCAGTACCATCCCCGAGAAAAAATTCTGGGAAATCTGGTAGGCCTACCTCTCCACTCAAACCACCGCGGCCAAAGAGCGATAACCTGCACTCTAAACCAAAAACGTATAAATCAAGGGTTTATGAAAACACGTTAGACAGAAATGAGCTTTCAAGTATTGAAGAGACAAATTTAGGACAAAAATCACTTTTTGAAAAAAACGTAGAAGGACTAGTGTATGCCGAGTTGAATCTGCAACAATCTCCTCAACATTTAGTTCGCTCAATGGAAGTTAGGCCTACAGAATATGCCAAAATTAAAAACTAAAAATCTACTTGTAGAATTAAATTAAGAAAAAAAGGCCATGGTGTGGTTTATCAGATACCGTATTGTGTTAGTAAGTGTAAAATGAATATAGTTAATATTTAGCTTTCTCTAACTGAATTGAACAACGGAAACGGATGTCAGTATCTGGTCGATCTCATGATAAAATGTCGAAGAAGTTTCATTGCCAACATTATTCTAATTCCCTTAACTACGATACTTTCAAACGCTTTCTCTGCCTGTCAGTATACTGTAGGTGTATTTCTGTTCCTTAATGTGATCATTAATTGATTATAAATACAGGTTATTTGCAGAGGGTATTATTGTCACGAACGGATGTCAGTAGCTTGTCAATCACATGATGAAATGTCGGAAGTTTCATAGCCAGCGTTTACTTGACAATAAACTAGAATATTTCAAAATTGTTCAATTAAACAGTGTGAGTAGTGTCAATACAATTTAATTTTGTTGCACAATACATTTTTTTTGGAATTAGAAATGTTTGAAGAAGTTATGAGGGTGACTATCAGGGGTCACATTGTCACACTAACGCATTGTCTGACTATTAATTTCGCTCTTTGTGGCGGTGCGCGGAGTTATAATAATAATAATGATAATTATTATAATAATTATAATAATAATAATTAAATAATAATAATGATAATTGGTAGATAAAAATTAATAGAGGCTGGTAATTTATTTATAAGAAAAAATTGTAATATGTACAAATTTGCTTTATTAAAACACACTTACAGTACCACTTGTAATTTCCCAAAATAACACGAGGTGTTTGTGTACTATATGCATAATATTTTGTAATAATATATTAAATTCGTTATGGCTAGCCACAGTACGTGGTGCAGTACAATTTTGTCTTTAATGTATTTAGAACTGTATATGAGTGTAAATATATGTTTATGACAATAAAGACTTATATGTATAGTGAACATTGTTACAAAAAAGGCAACATAAATTTTTGCATTTGTTGGTGCTTATTATGACGGTTGGTAACTATGTGACGATGATGATGATGGTGTTGATGACCACGATCGATGATTGATTGTGATGATTATGATGTCGACGATGATCATGATGACGACGCTGAGGATGATGATGACTAGGAATAGGATGGGGGCGATGGATGATGATTATACTGTAATGATATCTGTAGTGGTAATAATAATATTATAATGATCAATAATTCCCAATCCCAAGTTCATATAAAATAAAATTATTTTTACATAAAAAATATTTTTAACGCTAAAATGGATGGCATCTTGGAATTTGTTGTGATGACGTTATCATTCCGATCAAATTTTTTAAGGAGAGTAAAGCGTAACTATTTAGCCATTTTTAAAAATTCATATCCATAGTATATGTAAGTGACAAAAAACATACATTTATTTCCCCTACCCCCATCTTAATTAGTCTAAAACAGGGCATTTTATGCCAACATTTCGAAGTGATATTAAGAAAAATTGCCCGAGCCTCAGGATTTTTTTTGGAGACACTATGATATACTGATTTAGAAAAACCAACAATAAATTTTCCTTTACTATTTACAAGATTTCAATTGAATGAGAATGCATTTTTCTCACCAACTAGCCGACGCATCCTAAATTGGCTAGCAGGCAACTTAAGGATTTTTATACTAAACAGTACAAACTCTAATATAAGATCTCACTGAAAAGACATTCGATTACTATTAGCGTGAGCATGTGTCATAGTTTTAGGAGACCTCCATTGGTTGCCTATAAGAGAAGGCATAAATCCTACTTCGTATTCAAGCTTTGCTAGGGAAAAGCCCGTCTTACACATCTTACTGAAAAATTCACCTGGGAGGAAACTGATATCTAGCATAGGAACTCTCCTAAATGCGCTCAGTTATATTCTATGGATCACGCAATATTTTTACTGTTGTTGCTTTTATGGAATATCAACACTTTGTTATTCGAGACCACAATTTATGCCTGAAAAACAAAAAAAATAAATCGAGATCTTTTGCATTATCATTATACCTTGTTGGTACACTCATGTACAAATAAGCTCCATGATAATACTTTATTGGCATTGCTGTTAGTTATGTAATTATTATTGCTGGAGAGGTTATATTTCGTTCAGCTTGTTTTGTTATCAAATATTGTTTTGAAGTAATTATACTCTTTCTAGAATATCTAGAATTAAGCTTTGTGTTGGCACCCATACTTTTGGCTGATTCCTAATAATTATGTGAATGTAGATTAAAATATCATATTTGGGTAATTTTCAATTAAGATATTCGAAAAAAATGTTTTTGCCAAAAATAATCCAAATGAGTAAACACTTAAAAATTGCCAAAGTACCTAAATGTGGGAGTATTGTAAGAAAGAAAAAAAAAGCAATGCGTCATCTACACTTCTAGTTTTAAAAATTACAAATCAAATTAACATTTTAGCTTCTCTGGGAATCAGTTTTTGAGACATTTCACAACATTAAGGCCACTGGGCGGAAATCTAGGCTTACTTAGCTTTAAAGTATTTGGCTGAGACTTTTCTTTCATATCTAAAAGGAATCACACTGTACCCTATATTAAACTTTCAAGTTATAAAATTGAATGCTAATGATAATTGCAACAGATTTGGAAATTTTATTCAAATTTGAATATATTTAAACTACCGTCTCTCGAAATTTCTGGTGTTCTTGCTTGCTAATACTGCATTTGTTTGTACCTCAAAATGACCTTGGTTCAATGCAAATATATACCATGGGCGCATTGCTAAGTGGTGAAGACAGATTTTTTTTTATGCGTAAGCTGCGTGTTTGTTAGTATAGAGCTAAATATTTAGTTTTACCTGTGTGTGCTGTTAGAGTTTTCATTAATTAGAATATTTCAATAGGCCTATTTTATCTGAATCAGAAGAAAGTGCCGTGTAGTAAGTTCAAAGCAGGGCACTCACTGCTTTGTCCGACGATCGTACGACCGTCAGCCGACGAACACAACTCCACTGCCTGTGAGCGCTAGACGACTCGACGCCGTCCATAGAGATTGTCGGCAAAGAACTTAAATAGCAGAAGAATGAGCTGTTCCGCGTATTTGCATTAAAATTGATGGAACATCCGCCCTCCCGCGAGCGGAGTAAAATTTGAATATTTTACTAAGTGGAGAAACTACAGGAAACAAACGAACCAGAGCGGCGCCTTTATTATTACTATATAGCGCCGCCGCGCGGACGGGGTAAAATTGCTCTCCGTGTACCCACAATGCCTTTCGAGCGGATGTTCTACTATATTGGGAAGCTGCTCTAAATTCTGCTATTTATTATCTTTGGTAGCAGTCTAAACAGATCGTCATTAAAAATGATCCGTTTCGCGCGCGTCGTGGCGTTGCGTTCTTCATAGAATCGCGTCGGTCTATGACGTCGGTCGCAGTGAGTGCCCGGCTTTGCAGAATTGACCAATAGGTTATCTCTCGTTTCTAGGTGTCAACGTATCGAATGAAAGTCTCCTCAGAGAGGAGTAGGTTAAATTAAAGGCTAAGTATTGTTTTCTCAAGGAAAGCATCTTTAACAATATTTTCTTCTGCAAATTGATGCCAAGAAATAGCAAAAGTGAAGGTATTAAGATGTTTCTTGAGTCTTGTTAAATTTGGCCATGTGTCTGGCAGAGGCGTACACGAGGATGTTTAGCGCACGGGTGCCATAGTTGTGGGAGTTGCACTATATAGAATCGGAAAGAACTTTCAGATGACTAAGAACTACACGAACAAAGGATTTCCCACGACGTTAAGGTGAGAAATGCCACAGTAGTTGCAATATAGTTCATCATACAAAATTTTATTTTTATTTTTATTTTTTAGAACAGCTGGTCATAAGTAAGTTAGGAACACAAAAAAAACCAGATTGAGTCCAGTGTTACAAGCTTAACCTAAATTGCAGTGGCGGATCCAGGGGGGTTCAAGGGGTTCGGACGAGCCCCCCCCCCCCTGTGAAGAAACGTAACAAAATACTATTGGGTCCTGGCTTACAAAAGGCATGCTAACCTCATAGTTACCAACCGTCTCACTATCAAAAGTCAAAAGAACAGAAGCTTGTTATTTTTAATGTATTTAATCTTAAATTAGTGGAGTTGAATAGCTTGGTGGTTAAGGTGCTTGCCTTCCAATTCCAGGGTCCTGGGTTCAATTCTTGTCAGTGTCGCAGGATTTTTTCTCACGACCAAAACAACTCCACTCCCTAAATCTCATATTGAGATTTAGTTTGTGTAAAGCATCGTGTGTGTATGTTTGTCTTGTGTAAGGGATTGTCACCTACAAGTAGGACAGTGATATATTCGCTATTGACAATCCTTGGCACATGTACTGTGTGCCGAAATAAATAATAATAATAATAATAATAATAATAATAATAATAAATTTTCTAATGTTTCTTAATTAATTTTTAAAAATTATTTTAAATACAAAAGAATTTGTTTTTTGTATTAGTTTCAACTTCATCCAAAAAGAAGTTTCTGTAATATGAGAGAAATTGTTTTTTGTTTTTTTTTTGTTTTTTTTTTGTACGCAAGCTTTTTTTCTTGTCCTTGTTTTCCAAATGTCTATGTACTTTTAAATTTTGATTTTTAATGTTAAAAAGATCATGCGTGTGAACATGGCTCCTATTGTATAGAAGATGAATGTGCATGTTAGGTTTGTACGCAAGCTTGTCTTTGAGTCGGGTTACCCACTGAAATCTAAAAAAAAAAATAATCTGCTATCAAAAAACGCCAAAGATTAAGTTAGTTCTAGCTATATCTGGAAAAGCCTGGGAAGATTTTTAATTTAGTAGACTAAAAATTGAGGTGGTTTAAGGCTTTACTTTACAGAATATAGCACTATTACGGTGGCTACTTGCCACCTGCTAATTTTCCCCACGGATTTTTTTTCTACCTAGAGAGTTATTCCCCAGGCTAATTCCCCCCATTTTTTCGATGCATTGTTCCTCCTAGTTTTCCTATTGATCTTTTTTTATCAGGTTATTTTCATTATATTTTATAAGAGAGAGAACATATTTTTTTAAATTTTTTATTTTGTGTTATCTCTATATCAATTAATTATTGTCTAGTCGTTGTAAGGTTACACTAAAAAGGTGTGCCGATGATACAAAGACATTATTCAATCAATTGACTAATTGACTATTGATCCATTCGCAATACAGTATTGATGAAGCCTAAATACACATTGTAGAAACGTTTTGAAAGTTTAAATCCGGTTTTACATAAGAAATAGAGGAAAGAAAACAGGATATCTTTATAACATGTTTCCTCTTTTGGAATTTTGTTATCACACCTATTCTCTAGTCGTTCTATATAACCATATTTCTCTACATCCACAAAAACACTCCGGCAAGTAGCAGAAGTATTATTTCTGTACTTCTACAGTACTTTTGAGGTCAATGCTCATTAGTGATTCTCTTCTAAGATACGCCTACTTTTATTTCAAATTATGTGTTACGGTTAATGGTAGCAAATACGCCTATATCATTAAATATATTTCATTTAATTAATGTTATTTAATTTGTTTATCTATCAGAAAATTAGGTTAATTTATGTTTTATAAAGTATGCGTATTATATATATATTTTTAATGTTTATGTTACTAACGTTTATTATACAACGTATCCAATTTCTTATTGTTTTAATCAACTAGGATGTGAACAGAGTATTGATAATTGTGTACGTATTCTTTGCTTAAAGTTACAGAATGTGTTACCATATATTGTAACAATGACTTGCTTAATTACCGGTACTGAGATATTATCTTTAGGCCCGTGAGCCCAACTCAAAATAAATGTTGGCCCTTTAAACAAATTAATTAAGAATCAAGGGTGTAGGAGTATAAAAGGAGGGGTAGAAAGAGTGTCGAATGTTAGTAAAGGTTCACCACCGCAGCCTATTCATTTTTTGTTTATTTGAGTAATGAATGTTTGTGTAGGCCTACATAG